TAATATAGGAAGAAAAATAAATGAACTGATGAACAAAAGAACTGACCCCATGGTTAAAATTGTGTGGCTTTCAATGCCAATTTATTAAGTTACATATGTTAAATATATTACATACGCTTCATTTACAGAGAGTAGAATTCCTATGCTAGTGCCCGAAGACATGGGATGCTTATTAGCTAAGTACATATCCAACAACATACAATATGCATTTTACCTTGGGGCTGTGGCGTTTTAACATAAAACATAAACTCAATGAAAGCACATGAGGCTTGTCACTGAAACCACATAAGCACTACATTTGTTCAATCTATATGCCCCTGAAACAAAAGAGGGGAAAATTATGCATTCTAATGACTTTAAGAATAAAATCATTTCATGAAGTTCAGCTTCTCTGGTGCTGCCTTCCTCCTGAATTTGTATGCCATGGGTGTAGGACTTGCCTGTCTGTCACTGTGGCTTGCCATGCTCCAGCATCTGTGTATGTGATGTTATATGACAGACGCTAAACAAAGAAATGATTCATGGATGAGGTTGAGGGCTACTGAGCTTGGTGTCAGGAGACAGTAAGTCTAGTCTTGATAGGTCAGATGCTCCTGCATGGCATGGGGCCACGCATGTCGCCTCTCTGAGCCTGGGTTTCTGCTTCCTCAAGATGATGCAATGTAGAGAAACTATAAATCTTGTCAGCTCTAAACCTCCATGACCTTTCTCTGTTGGCAAAGAGCTCAGAGTGACTTCATATCAGACACACTTTGAACAAGTAGGAAGTGACAGCTACTTCTAGGCTGGAAGCCACTGAACTTTTGACAGACTTCCAGGCTCAAAGTGATCAAATAGAATACGTGGAAGTTAGTTAAAAAAGACAGTCACTGACTGTTGGAGAAACTTTCAGAAATCTTCAACTCAACTCCTCAACAAAGGAGTGGCTTGCACAAAATCATAATGATAGCTCTTTGCTTGAATACCGTAGGGGCTAAAGAAATGACTATTTGGAAAAATTCTATTGGGTGGTAAGTTTCTTTGGTCATTGAGCTATAAATGATCACCTTAGAATTGTAATCCTTTAGTTCTAGAATTCTCTGGGGAGATATTATAGTTTCCTTCCCATTTCTATGTCACTGTAGCTTTTGAAGATACTTTCATTTTCATTAACTTTCCCTCCAATCACTAGAATGTACATTTACTAAGAGCAAAGAAAAATTGGGTGAGTCAGGGATTATGGGCAAGATTTAGAAATACAGAATGCAGTTCTAGATACTTCTCAACTGAATGGTCCTGGACGAGTGACATCTCCTACTGGGCGAATATAGTGTTGTCTTCTTAACAAGAGGCAAAGGAAAAGGTGAGGGTGAATGTGTTTCAGAACTAAGGAAGCTGAAAATGTGACTGAGAAAATGTGACTGAACATGCGTGTGGCTCTGACCTACCCACTCCACTGGGCCGGTCTACTAAGTCCAGTCCAATGAATCATTCAAAGATCAGTACATTAATGTTAATACCCAGGATAATGACATACCCTCAAAGAAAATTCTACTAAAATTAACAGATACCTGCCAGGACTCTGGGCCCTAGGAGGGTAAACAATGCTGAGACAAGACATTTGCATGTGTTTTTCAAGGTACAAAACAAAACGAAATCTTGTCCTGAAGAATTAATTGCCAATGTCACAATCACAGAAACATGATTGAGGACTTGAGAAAATAATTTGTAAGAGAATATTTGCTTATATTCCCAGGCATGCTTATATGCATGAACAAGTTGATTTTTTTATAATCCAGAGGGTTATAAAAATGAATATAAAAGTGGAATTTCCTCTGGGGTGACATGGCTTAGATTGCCATGGAACCAGTGACCCTGGAATGCCCTGTTATTAAGCCAATTCTGATGTATTTTAGGATGTGAAAAGATGTACTTTCCATTTTCTTCTACTAGACTGAGGGAAGGAGGAATAGAAAAAGGCTATTAAGTTTATCTTATTAGAATTGTACCAATGAGATACAGGAAATCTGTTCTCTTTATATATATATATATATACATATATATGTTTTAATTTAGAAATGTTAATAACTGAAGCAGTTCCATTGTGCTGATACATCTAAACCAAGCTATGGTCAAAATTCTAGTGGCTCACACAGTTTGATTATAGTTCCTCTATTCTCCCAGAAGCAGGTTTCTGAAGTCATCTCTGGGTCGTCCATAGAGTTATTGAATTTTCAAGGGTGTTGGAGACCATACTCAAGGCCAGAAAATAATTATTTTTCTCTACATGTGGCTTAAAGGGTAAAATATGGTGTCAGTATTTCCTACTTCTATTTATTTGTGGAAAATTACCCTTGAGTGACTATTAAAAAAAAACGCAGCATAAACACACATCATCTTGCTGATAATCATCCTTCATCAAGCAGAACCCATTTTTGTAATGAGAAAATATCCATACACCCAGAGTTAGCTAATTAATTATATAATATCACCAAAGTAAATTAAAATATCTGTAGATGATAGGAGTGCTGAGTAGTTAGAATTAACATGTCTAGGACTAAAATAACTTATCCTTTAGTCTGCAGGGAGAGAAGACACTCAGTAAATATTTGTGGAATTTGTTCAAGCTCAGCTATTTTAGGGATGTTGAACAAGAAAAATATCCACCCCCTTCCTGGAAAAATCAGCTATTTTCTGAATCATCTTCCTCCTACTTTCCTTCCAGACCCTTGAATGTATTCCACTAGCCCCTTTAAGCCCCATCTCAGTTTTGTATTTATTATCTCAAATATTGCCTTAATATCTGCTATGGAGATAGTGCTTTAGAAACAGAGGTTCTGATGGAAGTCTGGTTGGAATGTTTGGCTGTGACGCTTTGAATAGTAAAATGTGTATTACAGAGAATCTAACAATCAGCAGTACATTCTTCACAAAGCAAGCTTATGACAGGATCAAAATAAATATATGCCAGAGATGTTTCCTTGAAGTTTCATTTATCTTAGGATATTAGCAAATTCCTGTTCTGAATGTATTTTCAAATTTATCATGTTCTCTATGGAACGGTGAGCAGGTTTGAAGGCTCTTAGCACAAAGGTTCCTTGGGGTGGCTGAAGGTGGCTCTCCCATGCAAATCCGTTCCTAGTGACTTGGGGTTGGGCTAAATGGAGACACAGGCACCTAGACTATTGTGTTTTCTTAACAGGATGCTTGTTCTGATTATGGAGCTAGGCAAGACTCACACAGGAAAAACTATCTTCCAATAAACACTGTTCTAGGAATCTGTTAAGGGGATACTTTTTGTTTTTAATCAAGTTGCTTTTGGAGTTACTGAGAAACCTTTCTTTTCTGCTGTAAGCAAAGGGTTTTCCCCTGTCTAAGCTGCCCTTTCCCGTGGTCATCTGAGGACTACCCACCTTCTTTCAGGCTTCACTTCCTCCCTGAAGGTGGAGGTGACTACACCCTTCTCTCATGGAATCCTGGACTGTTCTGAGCAACTGAAGGTGAGAAAGAGGATTGATGTTAGGTTAGCTATAGACAGATTAGGAAGTGCTCTGAGACTCTCAACCCAACCAAGAGGCCAGAAATCAATCTGTATTTAATTGTATCTCAACAAATATTAAGTGCTCAGGCACCTCTCTGCCTCTGTGGTCTCCCAGCATCTAACAGCATTTGCCATCAGTCCCAGTTCAGCTGATAGGGGATATTGACAACAGAAGCTGCTGGAGCTGCCTGCGTGTCACACCCACATGCTCTGAGATTACAAGGATAGAGCGAATTAGCCTATTTCATTTCCCCAAAGACCTTTGATCATAGGAAACAAACTGATGGATTTGTACTTTGGGAGTACAAACAGAACACTGGCTGAGAGAGTAGCACTGCTCTGCTCCTCCCTGACCCATGAGCATGTGGGAGGATCACACCCATAGGAGACACAGAAAGGACCCTCTCAATATCCAGGCTCTCCTTCAAGAAAAAAGTACTGGCTGAGTTGTTTGGCTAACGTCGTATTCTAAACAGAAAACTCTTGTTAAACATTCTACATGCAGTGTTGCAAACCAAACCTCAAAGCAGAGCTAGGTTAATTTCTTCAGATTTGGTTATTGACATATTTTTCTCCCCAGAGAATAAGTCTGCTGCGCTGCAGCGTCATTCAAGCTTGCTGTAGAGTTGGTCTAGTTCAGTAGAAATGTGTTAATTACCTGCAGTGATTTAATCAGAGGAGTATCTTATGTTGTTAGGAGAGAACCAGAGATCTCAGCACTGTAGTTATTCTTTGGAGTATGCTGACGGCCACTTAACCAGGAAGTGTCCAGAGATACAAATTCTAAGTAGTCTGTCTTGTTCTTCATGGTGTCTTCCAGATCAAGATAGTACTTGGAACATAACAGATGATTCAGAAAACTGAATAAATGCAAATGTCATCTTTGCTAGGTATGTAGAACTCATGCTTATTTGATATTTGTGAACATAATCCAAGAAAAAACTGTTTTCCAATAGCCATGTACAGTATGAAGACCAGTTCATTTTTTTTGATATTATTCATGAGAAATACCAGCTCTTTTTCATTTTTCAGGCCAGTCACATGGAAAAACTAAAAGGATTTTTGCCTTTGAGAGGCTCATGCTGTTTTCTATGACTTGCTTTGGACTTTCAAATAATATCCTGAGCTGAAGCAAATTTATGATCAAATTGACCAAAAACTGTCGCTGGTGACAAGTGTATATAGGAAAGTGTGAAATAGTCCTTTTTGATCCTCACATGACTAGAGTAGCCATTCATTAGGTGATCAATGTTTTAAAAAGTCACTATTCCTCCAAGAAACCATGATAATTTGTTTTCTTTCACCCTTTTCTGGTTAGCATTCTCATAAGGAAGGTCTATCAAATGTGAATGTTTGAGTCCTTAATTTCAAAGCTAAACCACTGTCTTTACGGGATGCTCCCTACTGCTGGATCCAAGAAAACTCTTGGCTGTAACTGCATATTAATGGACAAGATTAGAAATTAGGAGGCATAGGATCTTCATGTGATGATGGCTACTTTTGTCCTATAGCAAGAAGGCACCGAAGAAAGTTTTGTCTTCCTTTGTGTAATCCACCAAGGAGATGTCACTGACATTTACCATCAGCTTATCCCCTTCTTCCAAGGAGAACATGGCCCCAAGGTAGATGGGCTGGAACCAGTTGCTGCCTATTTCACACACTGATTTGGTCCCTGTTAGGAGCTGGGCAGGCTCAGGGTAGCTGTCTGTTACCTTGGTGATAACCACAATGATGGATTCTGGCTTATTCTGTCCACTCTTCTTGTTGATTTGACCACACTCAGATGTCGTACCTCGAAATGTGACCTGGGAGTAAACAAAATACTCTCCTGACTCTGGGATCAGCAGGAACTTATTGGTGTAGTTCATCCGGTTCTTGGTGAAGGCCAATCCTAGCTCAGGCTCCCAGTGCAAAGCTGGGAAATGATTCCTCACTGTCTGCGTGGGAGCTTGTCTCACCACTGCAAAGAGAAGAAAGAAGTGAAATTTGATTATGTCAGAACGTACAAAAGTAGGCTGAAAAGCATCTTGTATCATTCTCAGGGAAGGCTAAAGTGATTGAACGTAACCAGTAGTTAACAAGTACCTGAGGGAGGAATGGGTGAAGGGTGAGTGGATGCATATGTTTGTGCAAAGAGAACAGGATCATTGAAGGGTGTCATGGGGCTAATTATGTGGCCTCTATAGACTTGCTGACAATTTTGAATTTTACCTCAAACCTGTGGGCTTAGAAAACGATGAAAGTGAAGAAAATCTTTTTGTGTTCCAGAAAATGGCTTACTGCAAAGAGTCAACCTTCTGCAAGAAGACATGGATGCCCCCTTGTTTGCCCATTACAAAAGTGGACACCACACCCTCAATTCCCATTCTTTGCCCCTTAAATGATGAACTGGAACATTTTATTTTATTAAGACCAGACTGTTCAGTGCTGGCCACACTCAACTTGGGAAAAACGCAATTCCTCCTCAAAGGCTAGTTCTAGGATAAAACATTCTCAGATCCAACCTCTCATGCTTCTTCCTTGTAACTGACACATTTTAGCTTTGTTTATTCCTTTTCATAGAATTGAAGCCCTTTAACCAACTCTTGATAAAATTGCTGATTCTAGTATCAAAGGGTCTCCCCATGGTCATGGTACTAATCACCATCACAATATACTTGGTCTCCCACATCTGTAGGCTTTGTATTTGTGAATTATATAGCTACAGTTGAAATGTGTTGGGGTTGGGGAAATTATGAATTCAACCAATTATGAGGGAAAACCATCAGGGAATATTCTTGCATTTAAGTATTGTTGTTATTATTCTCTAAAAATTTTATTTTGGGGTTTGTAAACTTTGTAATATTCACTAAACTTAGTTTTTTTTTTTTTTTGTTTGCTAGGCCTTTCCTTCTTAAAATGACATAACCCACAGGAAATGTTTAAAAGAATATCCTTTAAATTATAGCCTTATTTATTTATTTATTTATTTGAGGGGTAGAGTGATAGAAGAGAGGGAAAGAAGTATAGAGGAAGAAAGAGAGGAAGGAGAGAGAGAAAGAGAATGCATGAGAGTACTCCCACACACTGGGTCACCCCTCAAATGCCAAAATGTTTGCAATGTCTCTGGGATGGGCTGAGTGACAATGCTAGGAGCTGGGAACTCAATCTAAATCTCCCATGTGGGTGGCAGGAACCCAACCCCTGGAGCCATCACCATCGTCTGCTAGGATATGTATTAGTGGGAAGCTGGAATCTGGGTATTTTAACTTACGTGTTAATTGCCCACCCCTAAATCAGCCTTGTTGCAGGCATGTGCTGACTCACCAAAGAGGATGCGTTGGAGTCACATTGCTTTCTATGTTCAAATCCTATGATCCAATGTCACATGGCATACAGGCAGTAATTAATAAGGAAGCAATTTGTAGGATATATGTTGTAACCAGAAACCCAGGATGTTTGACATTGATGGGACCAAAACTAAGGCAGTGGATTCAGCTTGTGGAGTGGGAGAGATCTGGGATTTGGGATACAGGGAACCAGTGCGAAATCAGATTCTGCAACATGCTGACTCATCAATCAACTGTGTAAGCTCTGTCTCTTCACTGCCACTCCATTTTGAGTGTCCTGTTCTGAAGACCAGGTGAAAAGTTATGCCCTTCCCACCAAGGCTGCCAACAGGTGTACACTTATATTCAATCCATGCATATTGTTTCTTTCCAAATATTACCAGCATCTTCCATTTTGACAGATCGAGAATGAATTTTGATTTATATCCTTTTTTATGTTCTTCTATTTGCATTATTCATCTACATATAGAACATATGAATTAACACTGTGTCTATTGTAGAAGTAAATGATAAATCAAATAGTGTTTTGAAGCATTGATTTCAAATAAGATAATCTGAAATAAAATGAATACTTTTAGTGATAAATAAAGACTTTCATTTCCTGTAATTGCCTTTGAAATCTATACCAATCACCATTATGTACAAATATTAGCACTTTGGGATAGCTTGTGTTAGAGGCTGCTTAGCAACTTTCACATTCAATGGATGACCAGAAATCTAGTCCCTTGATTTTCTAGGGACCTTTCTTCCTGCTGACTAGATTAGTTTCTTTTGCAATTATGATATGTGTGTTCCAAGTGTGTGCAGTTTCCTTTGTCCCTCTAAAAGCTCCTTGGAAAAGTCTGTTGCCCTTGCAGAATCCGTAAAGGGCATTTTTACTGATCACCCTTAACAGTGACTGCTTTCTCATTGCGGATGGCTCAGTGGATTACAAGCAGATGATGCAAGAATAAATTCATAAGTCTCTAAGACAAAGCAACATTCATTGTATTTGTAGGCAATTAATTGTGTCAACATAGTAGTAAGTAGGAGTTTGGGCAGGAAGTATGTTGAAATGAAAACTGTAGTTTTGAAAGTCAAGCTTAAATCTCAGCTCTTCCACTTCCTGGGCATGTGTTTTGGGACAAGTGAATTTAATTGTCTGAATCTTAGTTTTTCTATCTGTGAATAGTAGTGACTAATCCCTATTTCATCTATCTGAAAGACAATGAGATGAGAAAATGGACATAAATGATAACCACAGTGTCTGTCACATATTGGAAACTTAGACCATGGGTCCCTCCCTCCCCCACTGTTTCTACTTCTCTTGTTCATTGCAAAAGTGACATTTCTACAGTCAGTAGCTTTTTAATAAAAGGGTTATTTAGCCCAGCCTGTTTAATTTTTCTCATTCTCCTAGACAGAGATGAAGTGATGATTTTACCTGGCATTTCTCTGGACCTAGTCCTCACTCAGTATTTATCACAAATAATGCTTTCTGAGGCAAATGATAATACAAATGTCTCGAGTCATAAGGATATTCTCCAGAAAATGGAAATTTTTCTTACAGATGAGGAAACAGAGAGAAGGAGACCAGGAAATAGACAGAAAGAGATTGAGAGGCTGAGACTCCTATTTGAATTTCTGATTGCCCACAATGGCTGGTCCTGCACTTGGGCAAAGCCAGGAGTTAGGCAACTCATGTGAATGACTGGAACTCCATTACTGAAAGCATCACCTGCTGTCACCCGGTTCTGCATAAACAGGAAGCTGGACTCAAGATTCAGGAACCAAAGTCAGGCACCCTGGAATGCAGATATGGAATGCAGACATCTAACTGTTTTTTTTTTTTTTTAGCCATTAGGTTGAATGTCTACTCCACATCAATGGGTTGTGAATACTTATTTCTGAACTGTCTTGCTCTTTTCTTTGGGGGTCTCAGCTGTTAGATACCTGGAATTTACATAGATTTGGGAAGCTGACCAACAGACATTGTAAAAGTTCCACTCATTAGCTTCACATCAATAAACATTCTTTGGAAACACCTTCCTCATTGTCAATGTCCTGCAGTGTTACCTTGAGCAAGGCACAGGTGAACTGGATGTACTGCAAACTCAAGGGCCTTTTCATCTGTGCCTAGGTCCAGAATGTCTTGAAACTCTGAGTTTGAGGAAAGCCTTTTCTGAGTGGTTGGGTTTGCCAAAGAAGGTGAAAAAGGATGGAGGGGGGGTGGGGTGGATGGGTACATAGAATCACAGAGAAAATGCCCAACTATCGGGCCTTTGGAATCCTCAAATGAGAAGAGGAACCTGTCACCTGGGATTGTGCTTTCCAGTTTGAAGCCACTATACTGAATTCTGGTGATATCCTGAAAGGAACCTCAGGACCATGGATTGCATGCTCCTGGACAACACTCCAGGGATTGAGGGCTGGGGGGACTTACCTGTCAGGTGTGCTCTTGGCTTCATTCTTTCAGCTCTGAGAGGCATGTCTGTAATGGAAGGGGAAATATGATCTGTATACATTAAGGGGTAATTGGAGTGAAGATAGGCCTTAGGGAACTACAAGTATCCATGGTGGGAAAGAAACATGGATCTCCCGCAGTCCAGTTAATTCCACTCCTTACAAGTTTTTGTGTTGAAATGTGGTACTTGTGGTAAGCACTGCTAGGGGAGACTCAGAAGTAAGAGTCTCGAACATAATGGATCTTGGCCCTGTGACTTTGAGTTGAAACTGTATTCTCTAATAGGGACACAGTGAACCCTACTATGAATGGGGTGATTTCAGCTAATTAGCCCTATGTCTTTAGTATGGTCCCTTGAAAAAGCCACTGGACACATGGTTATACCAACAGAAATGAGAGACAGAAGAGGTGGGATCTTGTGTGTAACCATATGACCTTGGCATATTTGTTTCTCTCTCTGTCCTCATTCTTCCTAAGTTCTTGAAAAGATCATTTCCACTGGTTCTTGGAAATGACCTTATTAGATTAAGCAGCATAAACTACAATGATAAAGAGGCTGTTGTTGATGGTATAAAGCAAGAATCTCGTGTGCTCTTTTTATTTTCTAGGTATTGACATAGTTCCTTTAGAAAAATCACCTGATTACATCTACTCAGTAGGAAAGTATTAACATTGTTTTTCAGGTAGGAAACTGAGGTGACATTATTTGCCCATAGATCAAACTGCTAGTAAATTCCAGAGCTGAGCTTTGAATCTAGGCAATTAGTGCTACAGGACAGGCTGTGGGTCAGGCATTTGGCTGATGCAACATTTTGTCTTCTTGGTGATTAGAGAGAAGCCTCAGTGCACCTCTGGGTTTGCACCAATTGGCTTAGCAACTTGGTAGTAAACATTGATGCCCGGCTCCCATCCTCTCCCAGAATAACTGAAATTGTTTTCATTCCTCACAAGAAAGGGGGTGGAAAATGGAAACACTTACAAGCTCTCTGGTGTGAAGGTCCAAACTCCTGTCCTTTCGGAGTCTGCTGTAAAAGAAAGACATGGTCAGAGCACCTGTGGTCTCTCAGACCCCAATGCCCTCAGAGATGCCCATAGTATGAGTATGATTAAGAAATTGCTGCTGCCAGCCTGGGGACTCTGCAGTGAGGGAAAAAGAATTTGGAAAGTTTTGGCTAGTGGGCATCATGCACCTGACTTCTCTACTTTTGTCCTGCATTACCCCTGATGCGTTTTCTCCTTCTTAGGTTTGTCTCTGAAGTGGAACTTTCTTTAGAGATTAAAAAAAAAGTCTATTTATTTTACTTGAGTTATAGAGAGGGTAAGACACACACACACAGATCTTCTCTCTATTGGAGTACTGCCCAAATGGCTGCAATGACAAGACCTGGGTCAATTCATAATTGTGAGACAGGAATTTCTTCTGGTCTCCCATGTGGATGCAGGGCACAAGGCCTTGGATCATCCTCTGCTGCTTTCCCAGACCATTAGCAGGAACTAGATTGGAAGTGGAGAATTTGGGAATAGAACTGGCATGGCAGGCAGAAGAATAGCATGCATTGCTGCTGCAACCAGTCCCTGAAGCTCAACTTTTAAAGTTCTTTCTTATAGCTGTCCTCTGCTATTCTAAGGAACTTCAGCCTCTTGTCATTTTTTTCTGTTATTTGAATGTATAATGACACTTGCTTTATTTTCTTTTCCCTAGCACAGTTCAAAACTTGGAATTATTTTTTAAAAAATGATATGGAAAAAGAAAAAAAATGGCTATGTAGTCTGCTCATTAGCTTCAACTTTGCCTCTTTGTTTCTGTGTGGCGCATAAAGACCTTCTCATCATTGCAATCAGAATTATAAATATTTCAAATACCATATGAGAGTGGAAAAGTAATTACCTTCTAGGCAAGCAGACCTGAATTTGAATTCTGAATCTACTACTATTAACAATTTGATTTTCAATAAGATGCTTTCCCTTTCTGAGCTCTGCTTTCTGCATTGTAAAGTGAGAATAATAACATCCCTAGCTCAAATTGCTTATAGAGGTGCAGTGAGGATCAAATCAGAAAATGCATGAATCAGCACAGAGAATGCAAACAAAACAAACGTCCCACAACTCAGGTGCCTATGAATAAAGCTTAGGAGCAAAACAGAGCTCTTAGCTGAGGAATAATATCTCCTTGCATTTTACAGTGGTTTGAAAAAATCTTCTCTCATGTGATTTTTGACTCAGCCAGTCTACAGATTTGGTTCTTAAAACTGTATAGTCCACACTAACTAAGGAATTCTCTTGTTGTCATGAACACTTGATTTATTTTATGTCTTAAAAAGCTGTGTGTGTGTGTGTGAGAGAGAGAGAGGTATGTGTGTGAGGGGTGTGTGTGTGTGTGTGTGTGTGTGTGTGTGTGTGTGTGTGTATGTGAGGGGTATGTATGTATGTAGATGTTAGTGTACTTGGGGAGTGTTGGAGTGTGGGAGATTATAGCTGTATCCAAAGGATGGGATGTGAGTTGATGTGTTTTTTGCCTCTTTGCTTCTGCCTGTGTCTGTGATGTGTATGTGAGTGTACAAGTGGATGGCATCTTGTCATCGTTGTCTGTGATGGCAGCATCTTTTGGTATCTCAGACTTCCCAGCACTTTACATTTCCTGGCTGGGCTGTCTTCCAGGGGCAGTAGGAATCTTGGCTTCGAATGCAGAACTGACTTCACTGTCTCTGCAGACCCTTTGCTAGCACTTCCTGCTTCTATGAATAGTGCCACTACTGCTTCCTTTCTGTCACCAGATCTGAATGTTACTTCTTTCCCCTGCAAACCTAAGGGCTCTCATTTCTGTTTTTCAGTTTTTCTTGTCCAGGCCTCTCCTGCAGGCTTGGGAATGCTGCTTGCCCAGGTTTCCCCAATAGCCTCCTCATAGGTCTTCCTGACTTGCTTTCTCCCTCTCTCTGATTTATTTGCTAGACTACTTTTAGAGGACTTTTTCAAAAATATCACTTTATCATGCATAATTCCTCTCATAAAACTTTACTGGCCCTGCCACTGGTCTTCAAGACGTAGTCTATCTTATCTTCATCTTCAAAGTTCGAATTTACTACCCCAGCCTAGTTATCTGTTCCTCTCTTAGTCCTCCAGATTCCCAAACAGAAGAGGAAACCTCAGTGATTGATGCAAATGATTTGAAAATGGCAGTATGCGAAGCTACTGTTTATTGCATGAGTGCAGTAGTGACTCTATGGTATGCTACATCCTTCAGACATTCACTGTCACAACAGTGTTCTAAAGTATAGGCAATTCCTATTCTAAGATTGTAAACGGGGAATCAAAGAACATGGGTAATTCACCCCTTGTCTTACACCTGGAAAGGAGGAGAGTAGAATTTCAACCCTGACCAGTTGACTTCTGAATCGCAAGTCCCAAACCACTGTGTCCTATAGGAAGGATCTGGTCAAGCTCTTCATCTAGTGAGACAGATGAATAAGTATTAGCAGTTCCATGCCCAGTGAGGCAAGCCTAGAGATTGGACAGACCTAGACTAGAAGCAGCAGAACTGAAGGAAACTACCCATGAACTGACTCTTAAAAAGCCTATTGGTACTAGCCAGGTGATAATAGGCTTGTGCAACAGTAAGAAGGCCCAGCAGAACATGGGAAGAATTGTCAAATTGTAGAGCTTCAAATGGATAGAGTATGTACATTTAGTCTAGGATAATGAGTGTGATGGCTTTTGAAAATCTAATTACTGTGACTGTCCAAAAATCAATAACATTGATGGGTTTGAGGAGGGGATGAAGAAATTGCTCAGAAATGAGGTTCCTGAAACTGTCTTTTTGCTATTGACAGCTGATAAAGGCATTGCTACTTCAGAAGGTTGAAAACTGAAGGTGGTTTTTGAAAACGGAAGGTGGTATTCTCAGAGAGAGTTGGGGAGACCTTGAAATATTCTTGTATAAAAAAGGGCAGTTTCCCTAGTTGGCTTTCTTTAATTTCATTTCAGTCTTAGCTGAGAAATCTTCAAGTACCCTGCTTAACTTTGCTTAAGCATACAGCCAAGAGTTTGGATCACATTCGTTTGTGATCCAGCCTCTTGTCATCAGTGTGTACACATCAGTTCACATCAGTGAACACATTTTCTGTTTTCTCTGCTGGATTTGTATAACTTGGAGACATATTTTATTTGGATAATCATGTGTAGATTTCCCTGACCCAGAATGCCGCTCAATACCCAGAGGTTATGACAATGCCCATTAGAAGATGTTGGAGATCATAGTATGGGAAGAGTCCAGAAGCATATTGGCTGGGGCTGTCTCTACAAGAACAACAGCATACCACCTTGCCTTGTTCCTTCTGTTTCTGATGATTCCATCCAGCTTGGGAGGAGGAGTTTGTGACAGGAAGTGATAATGAATGAGGGATATGAGAACACCACACAGAGGTTGATTTGTAGAAATGCTTATGCACTAAGCTTTTCTGAGGCCTCTTCTCAAGATGCTTGCTGGCAACACTAGACCAACACAGTACCTACTGTGATCCAACCCTGGCTTTTCTCTGTTAAACCTGGGCTGCTTATTGTTTCATTTTTAAAAGATTTATTTGAAAATCAGAGTAACAGAGAGAGATGGAGAGAGACAGAAAGAGATCTCCTATCTGCTGGTTCACTCCCCTGATGATTGCAGCAGCCAATGCTGGGGCCAGGCTGGAGCCAGGAGCCAGAAACTTCATACAATTTTCTCTTGTTAGGGGCCCAACCATTTGGACCACCTTCCAGTGCTTTCCTAGGCCATTAAAAGGGAGCTGGATCAGAAGTGAAGCCAATGGAACATGAACTAGTGCCTCTATGGGATGCCAGCACTACAGCTTCACCTGTACACCGTAGCACTGGCCTCATGCTTATTGTTTTCTTTCTCTCTCTGGTGGGATTCATGAGGAGGACCTAGCTGATCTATCTTCCTTACCACTGTATTTACAATGCTGTAGTGCCTGGGATTTCTGCTGGATTATCAGTTGGCAAAGCATGCAGATTCTCAGCTATAAGGAAGATGGTAGCAGAGAGAAATCAGAAGGTTGTATAAAGTTTAGGTTCAGCGAATACAGCAGGGTTTTGCAATCCCCAAATCTAGGAAAGGGATAATTTTTTTGACATTACACATTTTTGATTACATAGAATACTATTATTTCTCATGGTGTTTGTTAGTGTCTGTGTAATGCTGGCTCTAACAGGTTTGTTGAATGTTGCAAGGCTTGGAAAGGAGTTGGAGTCAAAGAAAACAAACATGTATGACTATGGTTATACGTCTTAATAGGATGGTGAGTTGCCTGCTGCCACTAGCGTTGGTCTGAGACATAGTAACGAAGCTGCTGCTTTCCCTCCACCTATACCCCCTACAGGCCCAATCCCAAATGTTTCTTGTGAATTCAGGGGAGCTTTTTTCCTTTCCTTTCCTTTTCTTTTCTTTTCTTTTCTTTTCTTTTCTTTTTTTTTCTTTTCTTTTCTTTTCTTTTCTTTTCTTTTCCTTTTTTTTCCTTTTCCTTTCTTTCCTTTCCTTTCCTTCTTCCCTCCCTTCCCTTCTTTTCCTTTCTCTCCTTCTCCTCCTCTTCCTCCTCCCCTCCCTCCCTCCCCTCCCCCCTTTTTTCCCCTCCCTCCTCCCCTCCCATCTCCTTTCTTTTCCAAGATTTATTTTATTCTTATTGGAAAGGCAAATTTACAGAAAGAAAGACAGAGAGAAAGATCTTCCATCTGCTGGTTCACTCCCAACTGGCTGTAATGGCAGAAACTGAGCTGATCCAAAGCCATGAGTGAGGAGCTGCCCCTGGGTCTCCCACATGGATGCAGGGTCCCAAGGTTGGGCTGTCCTCTGCTGCTGCTTTCCCAGGCTGCAAGCAGGGAGCTGGATGGGATGTGGAGCAATCAGGGCATGAACTGATGCCTATATGGGATCTCGGAGCTTGCAAGGGAAGGATTAGTGAATCGTTGTGTCTGGCCCTCTTTCTCTGTTTTCAGAAAAGACTTTTTTTTTTTTTAAATTTAATTGAAAGAC